ACAGTGGGAAGGTAAAACTCCATGGCAGGAAGAAAGCTCAGGGAGGGCAGCGATCTGCCGTGACCGTTGGGGGGTGACAGAAGACAGCCAGAGTTCAATAATTGCTCATGATTAAATACAAAGTGGTGTAAAAAGACACAAAGTAAAAAGAGGTGAGTGAAGAAGAAATGCTAAGTGCATTACGCTGAGCACCCCTCAGCAGCCAAGGCCTATTGCTGCATAACTAACAGAGGATTCAGGTTCACCTGATCCAGGCCTAACAATCAACATCATCAAAAAAAAAAGTTTTAGGTCTAATCTTAAAAATAGAAAGTGTTTGTATCCCAAATCCAAACTGGGAGCTGGTTTCATGGAAGAGGGTCCCTTTCCACTTCTAAATATCCTTGGGACTACAGCTAAGTCTGCAGTCTGAGAGCAAAGTGCTCTGTTCAGATAATAAGGTACTATGAGGTATTTAACATTTAATCAATAAAGATTTTGTATGTTTGGAGAAAGATTTTTAAAAATCTGAATTTAACAGGGAACCAGAAACAGAGAGGCTTACCATGGTAACATGGTAACATGGTAACATGGAAACATGCACCTTTCGAGTTCCAGTTAGTCTTCTTGCAGGAGTGTTCTGGATGAAATGAAGACTTTTCAGGGAGCTTTAATAGTAACTAGATAATAATGACTTACAATAGTCAAGCCTTAAAGTAACAAATGCATCATCTAGTTTTTCAGCATCACTTTGAGACAATAATCTTGTCGAACCTCAAAGCAAATGAGTAGAAAATTGAGGCTACAGTTCACACAGGCTCACAAAAATTGCACAGTGGAGGACTGGAAAAAGTAACCTGGTCTGTTTAGTCTCAGGTTCTGCTGCGACACTCAGATTGCAAGGTAAGAATTTGGTGTAAACAGCATAAAAAGCATGGATTCATCTTGACCTGAATAGACACTTAAGTCTGGAATCCTTCAGCATACAGAGGAGTTCGTGATTGTGTTGATACTGCGAGGTGTGCAGCTTTTGTGGGTAAAAACAAGCCCAAACGATCACATCTCTAATGGTCACCAGGCTTAATAGTTAGTATGAGGTGTTTGGCTGATATAGTGTGTTTGGTTTCCACCAAATGTGGTGACCAAACATCTCCATCCTTGTCTTCTTTGTCCAAAGGACATGCTTCCAGAAGTCTTGTAGTTTGTTCACATGCAACTCCGCAAACCTAAATTGCGATGCTATGTTCTTCTGCCAATCCTTTTAAAAACAAACAAACATCAGTACTTGTTCAGTATTTTTATAATTGTGCTGTTATAAACATGAACATTTGACATGCTAACCGAGGACTGTAGAGTCTGAGATATTGTTTTAATCATTTTAACAAACACTCAAATGCTCCAGACTAGCAAACTGCCAAAACATCTGCTTTTATAGAGATGCTGACACTGATGATAAATTAATCAAGTGGCTTTGAGCACCAGCGCCTGGCTGCTACTTACTGTATTAATTTGAATTTAAGAGGTAATGTTGTACCAGTTCATTGTCCATATGACTGTTTCTTTCTTTCTGTACTTTCTTTTCCACATGACTGTAGTTTTTGAGCCTCTTTGAACCACTTCACAATTGTTCTATTGGCTGGCAATAAAATTAACAATAAAAGGAAAGAGATTTAATTATTTGCTCATAATTTCATAAATGTGATGTGTTCTAATGACAATGGAAAATTAAAGTACAAAATTATGATAATTAATAGTCCACTGCAGAGTAGTCATTTACACTTATTAGAAGGACTGACATACTTGTGTTACCTTTCTGTGGCCCCTTTTTTGATTTTTTTGGGTTAAAAACTACTAAAAAATAGTTATTATAACAGCAAAACTTGGTTTAAGTCTATCTATTTATTTTCCATGTAGTTAATTTCATACTGACATGAGATTAACTATGCAATAAACTTTGCATTGGATTTAAAATTTGTTACAGAGATACCAAAAGAACATGAGAAACGGGACAGCCAGTTGGCTCAGTGTTGTAGTCGCGCTGAACACTAATACAAAAACGTGTAACTTATGTAGAACAGTGTTAAACAACACATGAGACTTACTGAAAAAAACTGTTTCACTTTTCATCAAATTAATCTGCATGACAAAACTCTCTCTCTCTCTCTCTCTCTCTCTCTCTCTCTCTCTCTCTCTCTCTCTATATATATATATAGCAGAGTATATATATATATAACAAAGCGACTCATATGAGATAAGTTAAAGAAATATTATATTGTACTGAATTGAAAGTTTAGTTTGGCACAACAGTATGATCAACAGATACACTCCGTGTATGAGGTGCAAATTCAACCCCCACCACAAGAGGGCGTCATTGGTCAAATGTAATTGACAGTATAAATCCGCCTCCTTACTTGGACCTCATCGTCAGAAAGTCAGAACTGCCCAAACTCAAGGAAAATAGATCCATGAAACAGTTCGCTCCACATCAATTTTTATGATAGCCTTTGGAGTCTGTGTGAAGGTAGAATCACACCGCATCGTCGTCCTTTCCTTTCTCTAGCATTCACACACAGTTCAGTTCTCATCTAGAACACCATAGGCCCACTGCACTGATTATGTTAGGCCATGATGGGACTGGTGTGCTGGAGCTTGGCCATTTGTGCAGCTGTAAGCAACAGTACTCCAGTAAGGAGCTCCAGGCCGTAGGAGAGCCAGGCTAGACCGAAGGACCAGCCGAAAGACGTGTGAATGTAGGCCAGACCCTCCTGACCCACCAGCCTCTCAGTCTCAGCCAGTGCCTGGTTCGAGTAAATGATGTAGAGACTGGCGCCGCACATAGTCAGCAGACCTGGAGATTCACACATATACACACAGGAAGAGGCAAGTAAGTTCAGGGTCTTCAGATTCAAATAAGTCAAAACTGGTATATTTAAAGTATATAGTTAGAGCTGGATCGGGGAACTCTGAATCCTCCCTTTATTTTGGCTGCTGGGGGCTTCCCATGCTGCAGTAAGTGTTTCTTCACTCACCTCTTTTCACAATATGTGGCTTTACACCACTCTGCATTTATTCATTAAGGTTATTATTAATTTCTGACTCTCTTTCACAGACGTATTTTGTCCCGTCTTCCTCCCCTCACCCCCAACTGGTCATGGCAGTTGGCTGCTCCTCCCTGAGCCTGGTTCTGCTGAAAGTTTCTTCCTGTTTAAAGGGAGTTTTTTCTTCCCACTATTGCCATGTGCTTGCTCATAGAGGGTCTGATTGTTGGCATTTTCTCTGTATTATTTTAGGGTCTTTACATTACAGTATAAAATACTTTGAGGTAACTGTTGTTGTGATTTGTATATATATAAGTAAAACTGCATTGAATCGAAAATTGAATCAGCTGAAAATTGTTTTTTAGTCCTAACACTACTTCTTTTGTCCCCCACTTGTTCAATTTTCCCAAGATTTTTGGAAACACTACACACCGTTCTCAGACATGCTGAATTTTTGGCTAATAGCTCTTTCAGAATCACCTCGTCGGTGCAAAAATACTATTTTATGTCTGTCAGAGAGTGTTATCGTTGGCATTTTTTTTGTAGATCGACTAAAGTAATGGGAACAAATTACATTCAAGTGGTTTTGAAAAAGATTGCTCAAAACCATTTGCTTTTTGCTTCTTAGAAGCAAAAAATAACTTACATGAATGAGGGGTGGTTACTTTTTGTCCAGATTTAGTGTCACATTCACTTAACATTTTCTCCAACAAAATGTTTTCATCAGTGTGGCCAATTATGACATGAAAAATGATTGATTATTACTGAGAGGCCTTTTTGTCTAAATCATCATAATGATTAGTTTTATGAGTTTTATTCTGAGCTGATAATAAATTCACAATTTCTCTGCCCTTATTATAAAAGTTATGTTAACATCTAACTGACATTTCAGTGCTTGTAAAGATCTCAGTCTCTGCAAAGCAAATAGGTGCTGTGATATCGACTGTATGAATTAGGAAATGAAACAGAAAGTTCAGACGTAGCAGGAGGAGAGGAGACAGATTAAACCCAGACTTTTAGCTCAGTAGATAACCTGGGATTTAAGTTAACTTTCTTTATGGAACTGAAAGCTTTGCATTTTCCTCGATCTCAAGTTTAAGAAACTCAGAGTTTTCACCAAACCTGCATCCTGTAGATAAAGGAAATCCTTATTTGGATCTGCTATTAGTTTGGTTCCAGGTTTAGAGGTGGCAATAAATTATACACCCTGTTGAGGAGGATAGCATTTTAGAAACAAACACCTGCACAAGCTGGCATCGTACTCCAGCAATTCTGAAGCGGAAATGTGTTCTAGTCAGAGCTCTGTGCTGAGAGCTGAGAACGGTAACGTCAAGCCACTCATGAAGCTGCCCAGAATCTCATATTATGAGACACAGGAACAGCACTGACGCATGGATTGTCTGTTATTCTACTCATCAGAGACTAGACTGAGACACACACACACCCACACACACACACACACTGTTCCACTGTGTTGCTATTGGAAACCCTTTTAATTCTGACAGCTTGCTACTGGTTTTAAGGGGATGCAAATGAAGCTACCCAGGGCGGGACTAATAAAGATTTTATTACAATTACACCCCAAGGTGCAACAAACTAGGAATATGATGAGGAAACTGCATCTGACGCCTCATTTTTATGTACTTTGCCAAGAAACAAATAGAGAGACGGCCAGGAAATGATTGAACTGATGAATACAGGAAAGACAACTTTTACCATAACAGAGATAAGGAAGTCAAGTAATGGAATAATTTTTCATCAAGTGTGGAATCAGTTTTAATAATCGAGCAGACAGCTAAAAGAATAAATAAAAAAATAGAAATAAAGAAATCAAATCAAAGATATATTTTATTCAGTGTAAAAACTATCGCTTTTCATTATATCCTGTAACAGGACGTGAGTGTCACTGAAGTTTAGATTAGATTTAGTTAGAATAGACATCTTAATGTCGAGTTGGTTCGCTTCTTTTGTTCGATGTCTTAACAGATTATTAGACTGTCTTGAATTTTTTTTTTCACAGACATTAGACCAAATATTCACCAACTGATCGTGCAAAAATGAGAGTGCCTACGTAATAACACTAGTATCTGCTCAAATAACCACTTTTATTTGCCATCTTACAAATCGGGGGATTTATTGAAAATAAACAGCTACTAAAGTCTTGAGGGACTTTTCATTTCTTTAGAGATTGCCACAAAAATGGTAAAATAGTTGCAGAGATGTATCGAAACATCTGCAAAGACACATAGAAATGCAGTAAATAAAGCAAAAACAGAGTTGGTGCAATTCTAATGAGTTGAAATGAAAGTCAATATTTGATACGATCACTTAAGCAGCTTTTTACCCCTTGAAAGGCTTCTAGGAGTGATCCTTAAAGCTCTTTCTGAACTAAGAAGTTTCATTAATGTTTCAGGCCTACTTATTGAATGAACACATGGAAACTATTGACATTTGCTGGGGTGTTTGGGATTATTGTCATGCTGAAAAATGAACCCATTTCTGATTAAGATGTTTTCCAGATGGTGGATCAAAATCTGATGATACATTTTTGCATTTACAATTCCATCAGTTTTAAAAAGATCCTGAACACGACTAGCTGAAATGCAGCTCCAAACCATGACAGACCCTCCATCATGTTTTACAGATGGCTATGGACACTCACTTGTACCTCTATCCTGACCTCCACCAAACAGATTGATGATTTTAACCAATGGCTGAAATTCATCACAACCTTTTTCCTTGTTTTTCTAACTTAAGAATGATTTCTTGACAGCCACCCTTACATTGAGCTCATTTCTGATGAGGCTTCATCAAATGGGAAATGGTAAATGGCCTGTATTTGTATAGCGCTTTTACTAGTCCCCCCTAGGGACCCCAAAGCGCTTTACACACCCAGTCATCCACCCATTCACACACCCATTCACACACTTGTGGAGGCAAGCTACAGTTGTAGCCACAGCTGCCCTGGGGCAGACTGAAAGAAGCGCCATCGGCCCTTCTGGCCAACACCAGTAGGCGGTAGGTGAAGTGTCTTGCCCAAGGACACAACAACCGAGACGTTGTGTCCTTGGGCAACCTTCCGATTACAATCTTCCGATTACTCCCAACTCTCGAGCCACGATCGCCCCCTCAAGGGTCAGATACAAACCTCAGGTCCTGTGTCAGGTCTTTGCTGGATTTTCCCCCATTTTTTAGTGATATGATTTTCAGTTTATTTAGTTTTTAGACCTGCCATTTCTTGTTTTGTACTCCACTTGTCCAGTTTTTGACTTTTTTAAGGACACACTGCAAACCACGCTGAGATAGGCCAAGTTTTTAGCTAATATCTCTCTGTGAATCACAAAAACACCACTTTATGCCTGACAAACTGCATTTCCTTCTCCATTTTTCATTGGTTCAGCTAGATTTAACAGAAACTGGAACAAAAGTACCTTGTTAAATTGTTGTTTATTTGTAGCCACAACACTGTCTCAGTTAAGTATGTTTTTATGCTTGAATGATCAGTGTTATGTGGCTTAACAAATAAAAAACATTCCTCTGAAATTTTTAAGTTACGAGGATCGGACTGAAAATGAGTGAAAAAGCTGTCAATGTCCAGAACAAGAAAAACTTTGAAAGGCCTTCAAAAAGCCTCAAGAACTGTTGCTCACGACCACTTTTTAAAAAAATGACAAGAAAGTGTGAATGCGTGGATGCAAAATATTAAGAGTGGGTCAAGACTTACTACAGAAATGTTTCTGTTTTTAACCCCTCTTCTGCTGCTGAAGCATTTGTTTTAATGTCACATTCAGGCACTGCAAATCAGACAGCAACAGAATGCCATTCATAGTTATTTACTCATAAACACGGTTTGTATCCAGCACTGAAGCGCCGTTGCCATGGGGGTGTGTATGCTCAGTCTGGGAACAATGTTAAAGTGGGCGGTTAATGTAAACATCTGCACGAATGCCAAGGCCCGAGGCTTCTCAGGAGAACACTGCACTGAGATAACCAATAATAGCCGTTGGTAATTTTAATGTTTTGGTTGTGTTGTGCAAATGAACAATTAAAGACTTCATCCTGTAATATAGCAAAACTCTTGTTGTCTTCCTCATCACACTACGTTACAATCGTGTTCATAAATGCACTGCACACTTACTAATGGGCTAACTCTAAAAATACTCCGACATTAAAAGTTAATTAAATGCTTACAACTAAGAGAAGCAGAGCGCCCAACGACAGAGCAGAGCGGCAAAATCGAGAGAGCATAAGAAATGCCCGGCTCGGAGGCTGAGGTCTTTTAAAAAGTCCGACAGTCAACAAGTTCACAAGATGACTCCAATCTAATTCAAGACTTTATTTTATTCCACACTTAACCATGTGCTGCTTGTTAAAGTGAGACTATGAAGAGTCTGTTTAAGTATGTGTTTGTCTATCACAAGGTCCCATTTATGGAGGTCATAAGGTGTTGGCAGAAGAGCGCCCAAGAGATCCAGAAGCTCAGGCGCTAGGTTTATGCAGACAAGAATAACTTAATTACTGGAAATAGCTAGATTAAGAGAATGGCATTAACAGTAATCTAACTATCTCACATTTACAGCTTTTTTTGAGCTACTAAACTAATAATCACTGTAGGTGCATGATACATGACATCTTAACACTTTCTGTTTTAGTTGTGACCTGAATGTCACTTTTATTACAGTTTCCTGTTTTTTAGTTTTTCAGTTTCTTCTGTTATCGCCCGGCACAGATTCAATACACACCAAAAAGAAACAGCTCTCTGGTGTGTAACTGTTTAATTCAAAAGTCAAATGAGTAATTCAGCTCTAACTAAGTTATTCTTACTCAGATCATGTTCTGAATTTGGATCAGATAACCAGGTTCAACCTTTTACATGGCGGCTGCAACATTTGGAATATTATCTTCGTCTTGTTTGTCTCTTTCACAACTGGGGTGTCTTAACACATGCCGGTTTACTCCGGCCATCTTTTTGAGGCAAACGGTCCTCACTGATTAATGATGCGATGAGAACATATCCATTTCAGCAAACCCACTGAAGTTGAATTATAAAGCTTTAAAATTTAAGATGTGCTGAATTTGAAGCAGGAACAGTAGTTTGGGGGAGCAAAATCGAAAGATGTGTGCTAAAAGAGGCAGCCTGACCTTTAATCTGTGTAATTCATACAGTCATTGGCCGTTTTGTTAGGTAAGCCTCTTCAAATGCTTGTTAGCGGAGGAGTCGGTTGATTGAGGGGCCGATGAAGAGGATGCAAAAGACCCACAGTAAGCAGAGAAGACCGAATTATCTGGTCATGTAACAGCAACCTGATGCACACTGCATGGAGACATGGTCAAGACGACCTGCTGAAGTTCAAGCTGAGCATCAGAAAGAGGAAGAAAGGTGATTTAAGTCACTTTGAATGTGGCGTAGTTGTTGTTGCCAGAGCAGCTGGTTCAGAAAACTGCTGATCTGCTGGGATTTTCATTCACAACCATCTCCAAGATTTACAGAGACTGTATCAGTGGTTCAGGTGGCTACTGTTGGTGTAATGTTGTTTGGATCATTTTTTGTTTTTGGCATGATCACAGTGTACCCATCTTCTATTGGCTGCTTCCAGCAGGATAAAGCATCATGTCACAAAGCTCAAATGATCTCAAACTGTTTCCTCAAACATGACAGTGACTTCACTGTACTCAAATGTCCTCTACAGTCAGCAGATCTCAATCCAATAGAGCACCTTTGGGATGTGGTGGAACAGGAGAGTCTCATCATGGAAGTGCAGCCAACAAATCTGCAGCAACTTTGTGATGCTGTCATGTTAATATGGACCAAATATCTCAGAGAAATGTTTCCAGCACGTTGTTGAATCTGTGCTCTGGAGGCATAATGAGGTGCAACACAGTACTAGCAATTTGTGCCTAATGAAATGGCCATGGTTGTATACAGATACACAGACACGCTGTTACAAAACCACTGCGATTTCTTAATAACAGCACACTAATTCATATTTTCCCCTCCTGTCAGAAGTTAATTATTAATAAATGTTGCAGAGTTAATAATCACAAGTCAATCAAAACAATTCCCTAAGTAATGCAGTAATGTATCGTTATTAAGACATCTTACATTTCTGCAGTGAAGTTTTGCTTAAAGATAATTTTTTGGGGAGAGCAGTATCATCGTCAACATATGGTTACATGTAGTTTTTACTTAATTCCAAATGCGATGCATTTCATGTATGAATGAAAGAATTTCTATAGCCCGAATTTACTGCATAATACAGTGTTTATGAAAATAATGACAACTGCAATATAAAATTCTCATTGAAAGTATAGATTTGAATCATGACCTGTATTTGTAATACTTCTGTGGTCTAACTGACTCATGTGCAGGTCTCATGAGGCTTTAAAGATGCCCAATAAACACGATGTGAAATTACAGACTGTATAAAAAATACAAAGTGTTAGACGGACACGTTTTGGGTGATTGATTGCGCAGTCTCTTTCGGATAGAGGGCTCCATTTTCAAGCTCACTGGCCACACTGGCCTGTGGCAATTGTGTTTTAATGGATCAGAATTGAATGGAGGGTAAATGGATGCACTAAAACCCTTAGCAACTAAGTGTTTTCCGTTTTCACACACCGCAGTGCCCTCACAAAGCGGCTGACCTCACGCGTATTCAATACTCAGAGCTGGACATCTGGACCGACCTTCGCCCCTGCAGTGGGTCTAAGGTTAAATAGATCCGAGTAAATAAAGTGAACCCGAACTTACTGCAGATGAAGAAGTACGACGCCGTGCCGGTGAGGAGGATCGGGCTACGAGCCAGGGAGCTGACCAATCCACAGATGCCTCCAAAGAGCAACAGAACCAGGCTGAGGGGAAGCATCACCACAATTGCACTGTGCATGTCTGGGTAGAAACAGATGGAGCATCAGCGGAGTTATAGCTGCCTTGACAGTGAAAGTTCATTAGCAGAAAAGCTGGTGGTGTTTCTGGACTCACTCAGCATGCGCAGCTCGGTGTCGGAGACTCCGGAGTAGTCAACTGTGAACGAGTCGATAGAGCCCGTGTGCATCTTCCCACCTGAATATCACATTTAACAACACGGTGATGTTGGTGGAGGGTTAGATCTCAGCATTTAGAGGCAAAAGTTAAGAAAAGTGGCAACCTACCTTCGTTGATGCTCCACAGTCCCGAGTGGGAGCTCATGTTCTCAAAGTCGCTGACATTCATGGGATTCATTTCTATAATGTACCAATAATCGGTGCCGAGGGAAGTGGCCAAAAAGGCAAAGCTTAGCATCCCGCAGATGCCAGCTGCGATAACGAAAGCGCCAAAAGATACCTTCATCTTGGACAGGTTAAGGTGTGAGACACGCGTGAAACTCGGTGGCTTCAGCTCATGCGTAACGGAGGTCTTCTGCTGTCGCGTGTGCTTTGGAGTGCTTTTACGCACTCATCACCGCCGGCTAAGTAATCAGAAAAAAATATCCCTCCCCAAAATCTTTCCAATCGACTAATCAAATTGTTAAGGGGAATCGATATTAATTTCCGTTTTCAATTAATGAATGATCACACAGTAACAAAGAGATAAGAACCTGCCTGAGCAGCACCAGCAGCTCCTGTCTGGGAGGGAGTCGGATTCACACTGAAACGCACACGTTTACGCAAAACACGGAGGGAGCAAATAGCGGAGAGTTAAGAGGCTGCACTCATTTGTGTTTGAGTAAAACACTCCAACCTCAATTTCAAGCTGTGGTATGGAGAAAGCTAGAGATGCAAGGGCTTATCTAAATATAATAAAATCTAAATACATTATAAATAAAGCCAGACCTTTTGAGTGGAGGATTCATGTTGCTCTAACTGACTACATTTATATTAAAGACACCATAAATAATTATGTTACAGAATCAAATATTTATTGGATATCAGATTACATAAAAACAGAAAGTGTTAAAAGATAAACACACATACGTGAAAAAAAGATGACATGAATGCACACAAAGGAAACATGAAAATGAGTTTGGTGAGGAACAAGTCAATCATTCTGACAGCTACAATTATTCTCTCCATCTTTCTCAGACACACAAACAGAGCTCATGTCATTCATCTGAATCTGTCGCCGTGTCACTCTTCTCCCATGGCCGTCTTGATGATGTCTGCTCGCCTCAGTTTGGCTGCCTCTTCAAACTTGGTGACGGCCTCATTACAAGATTTGTTCTGTGAGCAAAGGAGATCAACTGCAGGTCAGTAATTAAGGCCTTGTTGTCATGGAAATAATTAGCAGACATTATTCTAGTCAGCAAAGTGTTCGCTCGTCAGACATATCCCAAAAAACTATTTAATAAATTGTTATTATACAAGACAACAGATTCATGACTTCCTATAAAGAACGTACATTGATGAACTTGTGCCTCTCTTTCTGCAATCTGTAGAATTCCTCCACAGTCAGCTCTTCCACTTTTTTCTTCAGGGCAATGAAGTGGCAGGCTGGCGAATGAGACTTGTGCTCCTTTCTGGCAAAAACAAGAGATAGATGGGAAAGTAAAGAGCTGTGGGCATGTAGTCACAAAGATTCCTAAATAATGCCACTGAAACACAAGTCTTGTTAATTATGACAATAAGAGTCAAAATGAGGGACCAGGGGTCACAGGCAAACTCTCGCACATTAAAGGAAAGGCTTATAGGAGTCAACAGCTGTTACTGGAGGAGAAAAACAAAACAAAACAAAAAAAATAATAAATCACTAAGCCTCACCAAACACTTGTGTCACCGGATCGCTGACACAAGTGTGTTTTTATTACGAGTGAGCCAAAAAGGGGGAAATAACCCAGGGTGAGCACAGATGGTTCTGAGCTGTCGTAAGATGTTAGCAAAAATCACTTGGCAATAACTTTGACACTAATTTGGCAACATGTTTGAAGTTTGCTTAATAATACTGAAGACATGCTGGAGACATTAACGACTTGTAAAAACAAGAACGGCTTAAATTTATGAAAGAAATTAACAACTATTGGGCAGTTTATTTTTTATTTCTGAGCCCAGTAATGTGATGTGTGCTCTTACTCTGGGTCATCCTCTGGCTCCCAGCCCTCCAGCTCTTTCAGGCAAAAGAAACACATGGCGATGTCTGGGCTGTTCTCTGAAGGTGTGTGAATGAAGCCGGCTTTGGCCATCTGCAGGAATAAATGAAAATGTCATGTTGCACGAAAATAAAAAAAAAAATCATCATATTCAGCTTTTCACACATACCACTCGGGTTTATTTAATTAAAATGAGTCATTTAATATATTTATTACTCACTTTATTTTTTCTTTATTGTACATCATATTGAGCTCCACACTCCATTATATTAATCTTTTGAGACTGTACTGTATTTAGGTTTTTCTTTTTTTTTTTAGCCCTTTTGAATTATTTTGTTTTTTTGAAGCTATTTGTTTTGTCATAACACTACTACTACCACAAATAATAATGACAACAACAACTACTGACAACAGCATTAACTCAAATAACCACTAATTACAAATGTAGTTTGCAGAGGCGCATCTCTGAACACACAACACATTGAACCTTGAAGCAGGTGAGCTCCAGTAGCAGAAGACCACACTGGGTGCCTCTCCTGTCAGCTAAGAAGTTCGCAGAGGCTCATTAAAATCTCTGCTATAAAGTCTCAGTATCTGTTGTGGCATTCAGATCTCAGTGTCAGAATTTGGCATAAACAACATAGAAGCCTTCTGCCTCCTGTCAACAGTTCAGGTATGTGGGATATCTTCTGGGCTGACTTCGGGCCCTTTACTACCAACTGAGCGTCATTTAGGCAACACCACAGGCAACTGATTATTGTTCCTGTCAATGTCCAGCGCTTTAGAACCACTGATGGCTACATCCAAAAGGCTAACCCACCATGTCACAAGGCTTGAATTGCGTAAAACTGTTTTTTTTTTTTTTATCTTGACAGCGAGTTCACTGTACTCAAATGGCCTTCACAGTCACCAGATCTCAATCCAGTGGAGAGATTTTGGGATGTGGTGGATGCATCATGGATGTGAAGTCTACAAATATGCTATCATGTCAATAGGAACCAAAATCTCTGAATGTTTCCAGCACTTGGTTGAATCTGTACCACGAAGAGTTAAAACAGCTTTGAAGGCAAAAGGGGGCCCAACACGATAGTAGCAACTTGTACCTAATAAATTGACAGTACACGTCCATTACTATTTATATTGAAGCAGTTTTAATTGAAAAAAAAAAATAACTCGGATGAATCAGCAAGGAAAACAATAGATCCTTGCAGTTAATGCGTCGGTTTCAGCGCGTTAAATGTGAGAATTTGTCGTAAATTGAGTACATTTAGGTTTAGGCACTAGGAGCCAAAACAAGTGTGTATTTAGGCATACAGATGGGGAGTCAGAAGATTTGTATTACATTTAAATCTACAGCCAAACCATAGTTTAGCTAGACTGTATTTCATCTGAGCTGCTTTTCTTTTTGCTTTCACGCCAGCTGCTGTTGTACTGTTAGCATGTCAACAGTAAGGCGTCGCTCACTGTTTCCAACATCAGTTTAAACGTTAACTCACGTTTTCCGGCGTGCACTTGCAGTCTTCGTCGAATGGCCACCCCTCATAAGTTTTTATCCTATTCTCAAAAAAATACATTTTGATGTTTTCCTCGTTGTATGGATCCATTGTATTTAATTGCTGTCGCACGAACCCGTGTGCTAAACTACAAAGCCTTTTCAAATTTCGACGACACTGCAATTCGGCTGTTTTGATTGGTCGCCCATCTTCTTCGTGTGTATATTAGTTAATCGTAAGAGCGCCACCATGTGTTCTTGACCGAGAGAAAAAAATAAGGAAATTTATTAGACAAATGCGCTCAAACTACGTTTAAAGTTTGACTCAGCTTTATTTAAAAAAAAAAAACAAAACTAAACCTTGCTCTCATTCATTACTCTCTACCTTCTACGTGAGCATGAGTCAACCTTAAGTTCAAGCATCCGTTATACTTGCGTCCCACTTCCGCTTTGTGGTCATGGGCAATGTAGTTCATCACGTTTATTGGTCGAAAGCACAACGCGCGGAATTTTATGAGACAGTGTCACATCCTCTGTCAACAACCGGTTCACATAACCTCACATTAGCATCCCTCACTGAGCTGATAGTACCATTAAAGTGAGCTTAACGTGACATATGCTCATTCAGCGGCTTTTTCTTCTTCTCCTCCCGGGTCCAGGTTATGGAGGGACGGTGTGCTGTCGAGACTTGGGCACAGTTTGGGTTTTCGGGAGGATCTTATAAAGTGAAGATCCTCTGTGGTTTCGGAACAGATGTTTTAATCTGCACTGGCACTGAAGAGATCTACGTGTTCAGTAAACGTGAGAGGAAAATCACGGCAAGTATCTGATTTACATGTATCAGACACAGATAAATAGATATAGATCTATGTACTTTATTGATCCCACACCGGGGAAATTCACTTGTTACAACACCACAAGGGTCAGAAATCAAAAAAGCTAACTAATAAATTAGGGAAAAAAAAGGGAAAAAAAGATACTAATAAATCTAGATATCAATCAAATATTAAGCTATACTAAGACATAAGCTACACTGCAGGGCATATCTCTGGATTAACCATACTGTGTGTTGCTTCGTATTGTGCTGTTGCAGACTGTCCTCCTGTTACCTGCTGCTGTTAGTGACCTGGTTGGAAACCAGGACAAGCATCTAATCTATGTTGCATGCAGGAGTGGAGTTTACCGTGTAAACTTACAGTTTCTGCTACACAGGTATGAGCCCTCATAGTTAGATTTCAGTAAACCTTTTTTAATTAATGCTGTTATTTCAACTCTGCTAAATTGCTCTTATGTAATATGACCTTTGTCCTCTGCAGGGATCAAAGCTCTCAAGCTGATGCATCCTCAAGTCCAGCTGAGCTGAAAATCTCCCAAGAGTGTCTCGTTGTTGGAGCAGATGAAGTGTCATCTCTGCTCCTCGTTGGCTCTGTGCTCCTGACCCTTTGCCAGAGAGATGCCTCCTGGCTGCTGACTTTGTACAAAACGCCAAAGCAAACGGCGTCTACTAGCCACGAGGAGTTTGGCTCGTTCCATCTGCCGGTGGTCTCAGCTGTGGACTGTGGCGCTGCTGAGTCAAATAGACGACCAAGAAAGGGCTCTGTGCTAATTTGCATCCATTCGGGTGATGTAGAGGCATCATCTCCTTCCAATGCTTCTGCAGAGTCAACTGTAGCTCAAGACCACTTCCACCTGGAGCCTCTCCTCTTCAAACTGTTATTTGGAGTTGAAGCCGCCCTTGCCAAATCTCCAGTCATCCTTTGCGGCCTGCCAGACGGGCGCCTGTGTTTCCTTCCTCTGCGTCTCCCGGGATCGCGCCTTCGAGTCCTGCACAGCCTGGAGCAGCCGGTCTGTTTTGTCGGTGCATCTGTTGTCACAGAAACGGGTCACGCACAGTGCTTGGTGGCGGCGGGCGAACAAGGCAGAGTGGTACTGATCAAGACTGACAAGGCAGGCTCAGAGGGGGGAAGCGCTGTGGCTGCTTTTACTGAGGGGTGTGTACCAGGGCCTGTGTGGTGCGGCTGCATGGATAAAAGCTGTTTTTACTACAGCACTGGTGCAGATCTGCTCCGACTGGATCTGTCGGAGGGATCGTTTGTGAGAGAAAGCAAAGAAAGAGGGGAAGAGACATCTGGCACGACAGCGGCCGCCCTCCAGAGCCCCAGCAGTTTAAATGTGTGCAGAGTCATCGCCCTGGCTGAGCCTGCACGCAGCACTGCGGGTGAGCAGAATAGACGTGCTGACTTTGAATGGATTTATTATAAGTTCAGCTTCAATGTGCTCTTCAAGTTAGGAAACAGAAAAATGCACAGGTTCTACACGTTGTGCACTCATGTAATTCTGTCTTGTATTCTAATTTAAACTCTCAAACTATTTTTCCCAACTCTAAAAATGCTTTCTGCACAGCAGGTGATGTACAGCTGCTTGGAGTGTCTGCCAGAGGGCAGCTCCAGAGGATCTGCTTACCTGCGGGGAGGGTGGATGAAGGATCGTCTAAGCTTCCTTCCACACAGGTGTCCCGCAGTGTCAGGGACCTCCTGTCTGCCATCGGGGATGTTTGTGAGAGGTATGCCCGTCAAGTATCTGATCGGGTGTGAACGACGACATTTAAATAAAACACAGCAAAGATCTATAAATATATATGTGATTATTTTTTTTTTTTTTTGCTTTCTTCATATAGAGCATCAGTGCTGAAAACAGTCATCAAATCCAAAAACCAGTTTCTGAGGCTTCTGAATCACGCCATCAGCATCAGTTTCCTGCTGATGGCAGACACAACTACTGATCTTCCAATTAAGGAGAAACCAATCAGATGTCATTTCGAGACTAGCTGGAGCAGACTGCTTCAGAAAGACTCCTTGAGCCTCGTGTGTTTCCTGCATAATTCAAGTCCATTTGTCCTGGAACGAGGCTGGACGCTGAGCATTACGGTGTCCCCTCTGTCTTATTCTTCCTCCCCAGCAGGAGAAAGCTCCTCCACTAATTTTTCATTCCCGTTTCACGACCTCTGTCCGGGGCAAACATTCGAAGCGTCTCTGCCTATCGCAGCTGCAGGTGATGCATCTTTCCCCATGACTGTGAGCTGCTCGCTCATCTTCTCGCTCTCCAGTCTTCTGGGAGAGGAGGAGGTGGCGGCGAGCTTTGCAGGCTTGCAGAGCAGCTGCATCAGTTTGCCCCTATCCACACTGACAGTGGACTGGCTGCATGCTCTGCAGCTAAACAGTCCCACAGCTACTCATAAGATGGCCACAGTTCAGCCCAGCAGCGCCGCAGCAGATAGCATCCGGACCTTTTTAAGCTCGCGCCAGCTCAGGTGCAGCGGCAGAACGAACAGAGGAGGAGAAAGTGCTGCAAAGCCTGAGCCTGAGAAGTATTCAGCAAGCGTATGGGTGTCATCAGAGATAGTGAGGGATACGCTGAAGCCAAAAAAGAGTTCAAATTTAGATACCAAAGAGTCGATACGAGACCCCGAAGATCTCTGCCTGTCTTTGCTTGAGCGACTGTTGTCTGAAGATACTGAAGGAGTGAAGATGGGTTGCCAAGGAGACAAGATTGCTTTGAGCACCTCAGTGGTCCACGCTTGTGGTCCAAACGGAGCGGCAATGAAACTGACAGTGAAAGAGGTGAATCGTTATCTAATATGATGTAATCATATATTGGTATGTTTTATATCCTCATCGTCAGTGCTCCTTTATTCTCCAGATAAACGTGGGGGAGGAGGAGAGCACAGACAAGGAGGCTACAATCGAGGTTCAGATCGAGAGCTCATCTTTAGCAGCGGTGTGTGGCCTGCACCATGCTGTGCTGCGCCGGATCCAGGTACAGAACACACTTATATAACATAAGCTAATTTCTGGCTAAACTTAGGTAGTTGCAGATTTTGAATATTTTGCATTCTTCTTTTTGTAAAACTGTACAGGTGTATAACAGGGATGTCAAACTCACTTCACATCAAGGGCCACACTATTTGATCTTAAGTGGGCCAGCTGTTTAACTGCACATTTAATCCCAGAGAAATGCTAACATAAGAAAAAGAAGTACAACTTCAATATTATCCCAGTTTTTCTGCATGATAGAGAAACGCTGCTGTAGCAAAGGAAAGAAATCTGTCAGTGTGACTCTTAGGAGATAAAATGTAAGACATTAACAGAAAAGCTTCTGGTTGCTGATTGGCCCAACTGTTCCCCAATTATAAAGCAGATAGTTTTTGTTAATTCACAAGAATTCAATATTTATCTCCTCTTTCAGCTTTGCCAAACATGTCTAGATGGGCCGGATTGGAGTCTTATGTTTGACACCACTGATGCAGAACATACTGCTAGACTTTTGTGATACGTGCAAATTTGCCATTCCACCTTCCAGCCACTTGAATTGGCATAAATAGAAGGAGCGTAAAAATAGCGGCTCCCTAGTGCAGGTTCACATGTTAGCCTAACAAGCGAAAGACCCCCCGCTTCGATTCCAGGAGGATACACAAATCCTTTGGGAAGGGGAGGGGAGGGCTGCATCAGGGAGGACGTCCAGCCTCCCTGATGTCCAGCATAACAAACACACTAAGCTACTCGCAAATGCAGGAGAGCTGCGAGTCAGTGCTATGACATGGAAACTGGGACAATTCTTTTAACGTGTGCTGCAAACAGTGTGGTCGGTTTAGAAGAAGCTTTATCGTGTCTTTGGGCTTGAGAACAACGCTTCATGTCCCTGTTTTACTTGAAATTCTTTGGGTTTGAATTTTTCCTCTGCTCCTCGACGCAGACTCTTCTGCAGAGCGCCACAGAGAAAGCCGCCTCTACAAAGAATGTCCAGATTTTAGGATTAAGACGGGCGCTGCAGCGGGCCGAGGTAAGTGGGCCCGCACTTGACGATTAATCCCATTAATGTCAAAGCCCTCCGTATCATTAAATACACGTAATTATCCAGCTTTTTTCTCTTAGTTCAATTAATTGATTAGCAAGACTTTAGAGCTTTTGAGGGCTTGGGATGTCTGTAAGTGTGTTAAGATTAAAGCTCGTCTGTGGTTTTTTTTTTGTTTCATGTGTCCTCTGTGCGTTAACAGATCCAGCAAAGTCAGATCTCAGGAGCCTTTGGTGAGGTCGTGTCCACAGTGCAGAGAGATCGACTGCTTCTCACTGTTTACCAAGAACTCAGACAAAATCCTCTGCTCATAGTGTAACACCTACACAGCTGCCCTCGCTTGTTTGGTGTTGTTGCGTAATCTGACTTTGCTGCCAGCCCTTTCACAGTGCAAAGCACATGTAATACTTTAGACTGTAAGATGGTTTCTATATGACATTTTACAGTATATTTTGATTTTGAAGAGGTTATAATTTGTTGATGTCTAATAATAAAGTTTCTCTTGTTTT